GACTACAGGCGCATGCCACCACACCTGGCTAATTTTTTTGTATTTTTAGTAGAGACCAGGGTTTCACCATGTTAGCCAGGATGGTCTCAATCTCCTGACCTTGTGATCCACCCGCCTCAGCCTCCCAAAGTGCTGGGATTACAGGCATGAGCCACCGCGCCCAGCCAGGTGCCACACTTTTAAACAATCAGATCTCACATGAACTCAGAGTGAAAACTCACTAATTATCATGAGGACAGTAACAGTCCATTCATGATCTGCCCCAGTGACCCAAACACCTCCCACTAGGCCACACCTCCAACACTGGGAATTACATTTCAATATGAGATTTGGAGGGGACAAATGTCCAAACCATATCAAGAGTCAATTATGCCATGCTTTTCTAAATGAACAGAAACACTATTAAGTAACCTTACATATCACATTTCTTGATTGTGTCTATCCTATTGAACAACTATCTGTTCCTGTGTAATACCATACAGTTGTCATTACAGTCAATACCTAGTATAAATCTCTGGTAGGACAAGGCCCCTGTCTTCTTTGTGAGGGAATGTGAAAACTTCTTTTTTTTTTGAGACAGAGTCTCGCTCTGCCACCCAGGTTGGAGTGCAGTGGCGAGATCTCGGCTCACTGCAACCTCCAGCTCCCTGGTTCAAGCGATTCTCCTGCCTCAGCCTCCAGAGTAGCTGGATTAGAGGCATGTGCCACCACACCCAGCTAATTTTTGTATTTTTAGTAGAGACTGGATGTCACCATGTTAGCCAGGATGGTCTTGATCTCCTGACCTCGTGATCCACCCGCCTTGGCCTCCCAAAGTGCTGAGATTACAGGCATGAGCCACTACAACCGGTGTGAAAACTTTTTTGTGAGGTTCATTTCTCTTTGTGAGGGAAAATTCTTTTCAACTCTCAGATTTTTACTCTTCAGCAGGAGCTTTCAATTCATTGCATTCTCCCACACAGGGAAAAAAAATCCATTAGGATTTAGAATGGATTAACTGCTCTATTGCTACTGACTTTTATTTCATAATAGAAATATGAAATAGAAAATGTCTAATAAAACATCTTTATCAAAGTCTCATTGCCCCTTTTAAAAAGACAATTTATAAATAGACTTTTGAGTTTACTTATTTTGATTTTGAATGGCATTTATCATTATGGGTTGTATTTCCTTCATATATGAGATACTTTAGATTTTTCAAAGCCTGCTGAGGTCACCTTGGTCTCTGTTCCCACTTATTTCCAAATATAACTAGGGGTTATTTGGCTACCCCACTCAGAAAGAAAAATAATTATCTTTAAATAATCTAGCAATATACCATTCTCAGTCACATTTGGAAACAAAATATCCTATGTCAACAAAGAACAAGAAAGAGCTTGAATTTTTTTTCATGACATTATATTTGAAGAGAATCTTTATAGCAAATGGAACAAAACATTTGTTTTATGATTTTAAAACACTGTTTGTTTTGCTTTACTTATTAATTTCAGTCCCCTAGTTTCTCAGGAAAAAACAAAATCACACAATTGTTTTTGCTTAACATGATGAGGCAAACTATAAGACATATACCTACTGCTGTGCGTCCTGTTCTTTTCTCCAGGGTTTTCCATTTCCTTTCTTCTTAGTACCAAAAATATTATGATAGCAGTGCTATAAAGGAAACTGATTGGTGTGGGAATTCAGTGCAACCAATTCTAGATCTACTTGTACTTGCCACATCCTTGTTGTGTGATCTTGCCATTCTAACTCTCAGATTCAGTGAAAGCTATATGTCTTTTAAAGTTTATCAGTTGCATCAGACCATATATATAACTCAGAATAAGTTCAAAGATAAGAAGATGTAAGCAGTTTCTAGAAAAAAATTTTCTTTCTCTCTACTTGAATGAACTATTGACACCAAGTTTACAAAAATGAAAGTGACTTCAATGAAAATGTATACATGGCTAATTAGCTTCATATTTATATGAAAGTGATTTCAAAGAAAATGTATAAATGACTAATTAGCTTCACATTTATCATGAGTTGGGGCTATTTGACTTTTGCCATAACATTTTACCTAATCTATAAAATGTTATTTTCAAATAAGACTTTGGAGCTTTAGAAAAATGGAGCTGTACATGCTTTGAGAAAGTAAAGTGAGCCATGAAAGGAGAAAATAAAGGCCTAGTTTTTGTATCCCAATAGATTTTTACCAACCTTTCCCTGAAGAAAGTTTAGAATGAGCATAATGGGAAAAGGGGAAATTGTATGTTGTGGATGGAGGAAGGAAAGGTCAGCTATGTCCAATAAGTAAAGAGAGGACTAGTCTCAAACTATTCAACATATGATTTACCTAGCAAAAGCTTTAAGTCACAGCTGAATTACATTGGGGAAACAATTACAGGTTTTATAATGGAAAGAAGCATCTTCAATGTTGGCTGCAATCACTGACAGCAGGAATACTCACTTTTGAAAAAATAAAAATGGCCATTTTTTTCTGCTTTCCAAATCTTAGTTTAATATTATGTTCCTCAAACACTATAAAGTTGAGAACTGAAATGATTACCTGGGAAATTCTGGTGAAACTGAGGTGTTTGTTTCATTAATTATCCACGTCATTTATCTTCTTAACTTAACCTAAATTTAGCCTGAATATCATTTGTTAGAGACTGAAGACTTTTAGAGAGCAGAGAGCACCTTTTTTTAATTAAATAAATTCCTTTGATAATATTTTAATGTGACTCAAGAATCCAGCAGTATCTATATATGGGCCCTCTGCATCAATGAAAAGAAGTACCTCATACAATTCTGTGAATATGAGACTAAAATACAATTTCAATTATGAGGTAATTTCTTTTTTTTTTTTTGTAGTCTAATGCAGGAAGAATGAAGACTAGTCATGTCGAGAACCAGAGCCTCACTACGTTTACCTTGTGTAAGTCCTGTAAATAAATTGGTGAAGGGAATCATCAAATGCCTTATTTTCCTTCCCGCAGAGAGAATAAACCTTTTTGAAAGTCCCTGATAAGGTACAACCCTTATCCCTAAAGTTAGACCTACCAATAGCCGTGACCCCATTCTGGTGTCTGTATGGAGTGTTTGCAAAGATGAGTGCAATAATTCTTCCCATCCTCTCCACATGCACCTCTGTGGCTTTGCTACTTTGCCCATCAAGAAATTGAGTTGAATTTCTAGAATCTGGATTTAGCTGTTTAACTTGCTTTGACCAATGAGATTTGAACAAAAAGTAACAAGCTGAAACTTCCTTTTAGCTTTGTTGGAACCATGAGACCACTAGGTGAAGATGCCTCCGATAAACTGTTAGAGATATCTGACCCAGGTAATAGCCAGGACCAAGTCAAGCAGCCATCTTCCATCATCCAGTACTAGCCAAGTCATATTACTTGTGGCACATGAGTGAACTCCACAGAAGACCCGTTGACATGAGTCTAGCCCAGATTACTGATCCAAAGGATAATCAAATAAAATGCTTATCTTTTTGCCAATGTCACAGACTCTCCCAAGTCCTCTTATTTATTTATTTTTTTTTTTTGGAGATGGAGTTTTGCTCTTGTTGCCCAGGCTGGAGTGCAATGATGCACTCTTGGCTCAGTGCAACCTCCACCTCCCAGGTTCAAGCGATTCTCCTGCCTCAGCCTCCCAAGTAGGTGGGATTACAGGCAGGTGCCACCATGCCCAGCTAGTTTTTGTATTTTTAGTAGAGACAGGGTTTTGCTGTGTTGGCCAGGCTGGTCTCAAACTCCTGACCTCAGGTGATCCATCCACCTTGGCCTCCCAAAGTGCTGGGATTACAGGAATGAGCCACCGTGCCCAGCCCCAAGTTCCCTTAAATCATGTAAAATTTCATGAGTATGTGGCACGTGCAGTTTTCGGTGAAGAGGATCCTTAATCTTCATCAGCTTCTCAAAGTGATCTATGAGCCACATTTTAAAAGACCCATCAACACCAACTATGGTTTCTCTTCCAGAAGCTGGCTGCCTCAGCTCTGGCTTGACCTACTGGTATAGTGTGTAGCTGGCTTTGGAAAGAAAAGGAAACCCTATTTACATTATCTGTATTCCAGCATCCTCACCTCTTCCATAAGTCTAGCTGAGTAAGAGTTTGGATCTTAGTTCCCACCTTTTCCTGTGTATTCATTATGATGCATGGAGCGATGAGAGTAATTCCCATGTTAAATGTGGCCAGAGAGGTTGGCAGACCAAGGAGCAAGTTACCGTCCTCCCAGATTACCATTACACTTCCACAGAAAGTCCTCTAAACACTTGCCGCAGATATTACCAAATTGTCACCCTTTATTGCATTATAGTAAGCCTTTGAGGTAGAAATCACTAAAATTACTTGCTCCAGGCCATAAAGCAGACCAAGTACACCTCAATACCAAAGCTTTTCTCCCAGGAAAAAAAAAAAAAAACGGACCCAGGGACCCTCTGGGTCGGCAAAGACTCTTCTAAAACATCTGTCCGGGCCAGCTCCTCAGTTGGATCGGTGCTGACAGAAACAGAAACGCCAGGGGCCGGAAAGGTGGCCGGGACGATGCCCCTCTGTTCTGGGCACCGTTTGTTCGAATACCTCGTCAGGTATCATCAGGTGTCACTCAGGAAGGAGACACGCCCTGCCTGGACTGCAGCGAACGCTGAGCGTTACGGGGTACGTGGTGGCCCTCAGGTTACCGACCGGGTCCGTTAGATTCCAGAGGACAAAAGGCAGGGAGCAGCCTGGTCTTGGGGTCTTTAAATAGAGAGGTGCCATCTACTGCCGAAAACCAAGTCAACATCTCGGGACAAAGCTGCACTCACCCCCGGCCGGCTGAGCTCTGGGCCCCTTTAGCCTTTCTTTGAGCCTGGTCCAGTAAAAAGCAGCCCCAGCAGTCCCAGCTGAAACGCTCCACACCCGGGCCCCGCTGAACTGCAGAAGCGAAGACTGACAAGCACTCTGTCCGCTCGTAGAGTGGGAGCTCGCGGCACCGGCGGCTCCGCCCAGGCCCCCGCACACTCACTCACCAGCCTGGTAGCTCTGTAAGGCCCGGGCCCCACGATGCGATGCTCCATGGCGAGTAGGCAGCAGCGGCAGCAGCCGCGCCAGCGCCGATCTCCGCCAGCCGGCGGAGCAGCAGTTTGAATCCCAAGCCCGCGGGCTCCGGGCGCTGATTGGGCGGCGCGAAGGTACGTCACCGGAACTGCGCAGAGTGGGCGGGGAGGTCGGTGTCTCTCCGAGACCGGCGGCGCATGGAGCTCCGGCTGCCAACTTGCCTGAGGTGAAATCTGTTGCCCACCCTGGTCCCACCGTGCGAGCACACCTGGGCAGGTGCGACTACGGGGCCAGGGGCGTCTCTCCCGCGCTGGACAACGCTGTGCAGCGCCCTTCCCAGATTTCTGCGTCGGAGCAACACAAACACACGCATTCTTTACAAAAGGGTCAATAAAAGGGTGTTACCCAACGACCGAAACCCAGCTTTGGGCCGCGTGGATAAATCCCTGTCCTCCCTACCAAGTGCACTATGAGCCTGGAGGTGCTGCTAACTCTGGGAGAAGCAGGTAATGAAATGAAGCGAGGCGACAGCTTTTACCAATGGAGGGACATTTAAAAACGGGATAGAGAGCACATGGCCACAAGGAACGTAGACAGTATGTAAGGGCAATAAAGAGCGGGAAGGGAGCCCAGATTATCTTCTGTTTGTTCTCTTGATAGTCTTTTCTCCTTTGAGTTCTATGTTTTGTATTGGACTGATATTTTTAGTCCTTGGCAATAGGGTTGTGAGTCCTTTTTTGACTGCTTAGAATTTTCCCCCTGGGAATTGCTTGTCCGATTTGCAATATTTCAGAGGGACAAATGAAGTAACTCCATATACTTACGACTCTGTACCCTACTCAAATTTGGTCATCTCTGTAAGTACCCAGGATAAGACGTTGAAGGAGTGAAGATGTGCCATTCCAAAATATGCGTAATTGGTATATTGATTATTTCGAGCGGAAAACATTGGAGAAATGGTAGTTTCAGAAAGGGCAAGCTGACCGGCCTCTTCCGATGCAGCAGGCCATAAAGATTTCTCTGGGTCGGGCATCCTCTCCCTACCACGGTGAGAAAATAGTCCGTATCACCAAAGGCTTGGAATTGAAGGCTGCAGTTGACCTGAATAAACATTCTTAACGAAGTAACCCTATCTTCCACTAGGAGATACAGGAAATTTTTTACATTTATCTTCTAGTGACTCCCTAGAAAATGTTACTGTCTTTGTGAGCTATGGAAGTTACTCGAGTCACAGGGCACCAAAATATGTTAGCAGCTGCCCATATCCGAGACACCACCCCAAAGTATGTTACAGGCAGCGAATCCCTATAGATCTGCAGCACCCTCAATCGTTGCCTCCTCAGAAGAAAGAATTCGAGTGAGGGGCTTAAGACGGAAGGAGAAACCCAGGCAAGTATTAGACCAGAAGTGAAAATTTATTAAAAAGCTTTGAATGAAAGGAAGTACACTTGGAAGAGGGCCAAGCCGGTGACTTGAGAGATCTAGTGCATAGTTTGACCTTTTGACCTGGGGTTTTATACGTTGGCATACTTCTGGGGTCTTGCTTTGGGGCTTTGCATTACTTCTCTCCTGATTCTTCCCTTGGGGTGGGCTGTCCACATGCGCATACTTGAGCCCACTTGCCCAACTCCTAAGATCTTATCAGGAAGCCTCTGATCAACAGTTCAAGTGTTTTCTATTAGGAGACTGCCTTTCCCTGGTGCTGGCTGTGACCAACTATTATTTTAGAGAGACAATTAACAACCGCCTGACCATCACCTGATGGCTGCCTGACATTCCTGATGTGTGTGTGTATGAGGGGGAGCCCTCTCCTGCCCTGCTCATGCCTGACTAGCTACTTATACTGTAACACCTTAGCCAAATTTTCTTTGTCATGGCTTTTCTTCTCAAATGTATCTCTTTGTCTAAAAAAATAAGTGAAAGCATCTTCGGCCACTTCTTCAGACTTCACTCTCTTGTGAAGATCCCCATGTGTATGTAAAACTAATAAAATGTGTATACTTTTCTCCTGGTAATCTTCCTGGTGTCAGTGTGGTTTCTAGATACAGCTGGAGAGCTCATTAAGAGGTAAAAGGCAGCTTGGAAGTGACCTCTGGCTCCCCTATAACATGATGAGAAAGACCTAAGTAAGGGATTGGACTCCCACCTCTTCTCATCCTCAAAACCACACCACTACCACCACCCATTTGCTGCTTTAGGTTTTTACTTAGAAAGCCCAAGAAATGTCCAAGATGATACATACATATTGCTTTTGTAATTAGAAAAAACAATTAAAAATTTTTTTGTTACTTCCAGTAAGTGAATCCTTATCAGAACTTTTTTTTTTTTTTAACCTCTAAGCTCTATGGAAGAGAGCTTGTCTTCTGTGCTGCTTGTCCTTGGCAAGGAATATAAAGGGATACTTGTGTTCTTGACACAAGAAACAGGAGAAAGGAAATTTTAGAGCCTTGTCTGTCTGAGACCTGCCACCGTCTATGATGGTGGTGAAACTGGAATCTGATACAAAACATCGTGTCCAGCATTATGCAGCTCTCTAGTTCTGTAAGTATCACAGACTGTGAAACTCCATAGATCTGGATTTCAATAATGACTGGTACTACTTACCAGCGGAGTGACTTCAAGCTAATTATTTAATTTCCATCTACGCACTGGTAAACTGGGAACATTAATGATTATCTTGCAGAGTCGTAAGGATGTATGTAAAGTGCTAAATATAGTGCTCAGCATATATTTACAGTGCCCAGCATATATCAGTAATAAAAAGAACTATATATATATTTTTTTTAAATGATACCAGCTTCTTGAGCATTTCCCAAGAGCCTGTTATTAGCCATAGACAAGATGGCTATTACTAGAAAGGCATACTTCCAAAAGATCTACATATCAGAAGCCACAAAGAGTCGTTGCAGGGGCCGGGGGCATCTGGACAATGCCGTGCAGCACCCTTCCCAGACTTCTGCACCCACACAACACAAACATGTACACTGTTTCTCTACAAAAGGGTCAATAAAAGGTTGTCATCCAGTGATGCCTCACGCCTATAATCCCAGTACTTTGGGAGACCAAGGCAGGTGGATCACTTGAGCCCAGGAGTTCAAGACCAGCCTGGGTAACATGGCAAAACCCTGTCTCTACTAAAAATACGAAAATTAGCTGGCTGTGGTGGCACACTCCTGTAGTCCCAGCTACTCAGGAGGCTGAGGTGGGAGAATCGCTTCAACCCAGGAGGTGGAAGCTGCAGTGAGCCAGGATCGCCCCACTACACTCCAGGCTGGGTGACAGTGAGATGTCTCTAAATAAATAAATGCCTCAAAGAAATCGAGGTTTTACATTTGTTCATTCACTTATTCAGCAAGTATGTAAGAATACACTACTGTGTGCCAGCTGTAATTCCAGTCACTGAAATCATGCAATAGATAAAATGCAGCTTCTAGGAGCTGACTCCTAAGTAGAGGAAGGGATGACAAGCTAGCTATAATACATTCAAATATGTATTATATATCAGGTGGTGATTGAGTACTGAGAAGAAAAGTAAGACTAAAGTGGAGAGGGTGGTAGGGTGAAGTTGCTGTTTTGGTTCAGGTAGTCAGGGAAGGCATCTTTGATGACGTGACATCTGAGTAGATGATCTGAGTGAAATAAGGGGTAGTTGTCTGCAGAAGAGCTTCTAAGCCGAAAAATGAACAGCCCATGAGAAACTTTCAGGAGACATGGGAAGGAGGCTGGTGCTGACTAAAGTGAGGGAGTAAAAGGGGCAGTGGAGAAGATGGGGTTGAATACAGAATGGAGTGGGGCTTTCAGGCCACATTATGGGCCATGGGATTCTGATACTATTCTGAATTAGTGAAAATATATTGGAAAGTTTTGATCAACAGAGTGATCAAAACAGATCACAATCACTCTGCTAATCTTTGGCCAGTCATTTTGGCCAAATCACTCTAGCCATGTGTGGATACTGGACTCGGGTAGGCATTGAGGGTGAGAAAGGAGGCAGGAAAATCAGTAGAGGAAGCTGCTACAATACCTTATTGGAGAAAGTAAATAAATTTGCTTTGTGTGGTGCTTGGCACATAGTGGCATTCAATAACCATTTACTGAGTGAGTAAATGAGTGAGCAAATGAAACTAAGCTTTAGAAGTTATTCATTTCTTAAAGATCAATTTGATTCATTCATTCTGTTTGCCATTTCTCATATGAGTATGGGGAACAAAATAATAGCTAGCTTTTATATTTTTATTTTAATGCATCAGATTTGTTTTTAAAACTCTTACTTTTTATCATTAAAGTCCTCTGAGCTTTTGAGTTTGGGAAAATACAATCTGTACATACTCCATGACTTGTGTTATAATTGCCCCTCCACCTCCTGCCGCCTCACACTTACACCATTACAGTACAAAGTTACCATAATAAAACCTGTGCCAAAGAATATAGCTAAATGGATTTTCATATTTGAGAATAAGCTCAATTTCTGACACATCACAGTTATGCCAAGGCATATATGGTAAAGTATAATTCTCTACACCTTGGAAAGAGATGTAATGAAAAAAGTTTTTAACTAACATTGATCTGGCCAAGAAATATAGGATAAATTAAAGGAGGAAGATTCTAAAGATAAGAAAGCCATTTGGAAGACAGTTGAAGGAATACAGGCATAGAATTCCATGAGTAATAGAGTGTTATGAGAAAATACCCATATAATCTTGAGCAAGACTCAACTTCTCTGATTATCAGTTTCCTCATCAGTAAAATAGAAATAATAATGGTACCTGCTTCATAGGGTTGTTGAAAGACTTAACTGAGGAAATATATACAAAGCTCTTAGAATTTTGTTTCCCTTATATGGTAGGCAGAATTCTAAGAAGGCCCCTATTTCAGAAAAAGAACTAATAGAAGACATATACATATATGTACAGAGAGAAAGAGACAAAGACAGACAGAGATTTATTAAAAGGAACTGGCTCACATAACTATGGAGCCTGATAAGTCCCAAGATCTGTAGTCGGGAAACAGAAAACCCGGCAGACATGATGGTATATTTACAGTCCAAGTTTAAAGATCTGAGAACCAGGGCCAATGGCATAGCTCCAGTTTGAAGTCTGGTAGGCTTGAGACCAGGAAGAGCTGACGTTTGTTTCAGTTTGAGTTTAAAGTCAGGAGAAAAAAAAAAAAAGTTCCAGCCTGAAGGTATTCAGGCAGAAGAAATTCCCTCTTACTCAAGAGAGAAACAGTCTTTTGTTTTATTCAAGCCTTCCACTGATTGGATGAGGCCCACCTATATTAGAGAAGGCAATAACTTTAGTCTATTGACTTACATGTTAAACTATCAAAAACACCCTCAAGAAATACTCAGAATAATGTTTGACCACATATCTGGGCACCCTGTGGCAGATAAATTAACCAAAATTTTATGGTTAACGTAAAATTAACCATTATAGCCCCTGAGACCCCCAGCCCCTGATATACATAAACCTTCTTCCCATTATTTAACCAAACACTAATGTAGATACTGCTGTAACGAGATTTTGCACATGTAATTAAGGTTGTTGATCTTGAGGTAGGACAAATATCTAGGTGGTCCTGCTTAATCATATGAGCTCCTTAAAAGGACAGAATTTTCTCCAACT